AGGGTCCGCACCCACGCCGCTGCGGGTAAGATGAATCAGAAGACAGGCGCTCTCACAACTGGACCATCGGTTCGGTACGGACGACGTTCCACGTGGACCAGCTGGTTTCTCGGCGACACTGTTCGCCCCAATCGCTGAGACCTACGCCAAGCTTTTCACATGCTAAATCCTGGATGGAGTGGCAGCACAGTGGCCTAATCTTAGGTAAAATGCATCAAAAATGCGAATAAAAATTCCAAGTGCAAAACCGGATGACTCAGGCATCAGCACCTATTGCTCAGACTGGCGCCAACCCTTCACCATTCAACACAACATTTCTGAAAGACCCAACTGTAGCGACTCTTAAAACAGGTCAAAGTGAATCGATTTTCACGGTTTCATCTTTACTTACATAAGGCTTGGTCTTCGAGGCATATTGCTTCAATTGGCGAAAAACCCTCCCCACTTGATGCACCATATCTAATGCCCTCTCCCGGTTGCAAACATGGTGACCCCAGGTTAGGTCAAAAGCTGCCATTATGACAAATGTCCATTTTCTTGCTTGCAGACAACTCGGTTTTCATAACCAATTGCCCTGATCGAGATGAAACATTGACAATACATGTGTCATGGTTGGGTCCCTCTGCAACTAAGAGTGATACTCCTGATGTCAGGTCAGAAGCTGTAAGTTTTTACCTTGACCTCAGAATGACTTGACCTACAGGCCACAACTAAGCTACTCCACCAATGTGCATGGTAATAGAGGTGAGTTGTTTACATATTGCTTTGGCTTTATTTTACCAACTGCGTAGGACAAAACATGTAACTGCACAAATACTTGTGTTTTTGCTGAGCTACAAGACCTTGCTACAACCCCTCTCATAACTGACAAAAAGTGTGTATGCCATCAGATGTTTTTATCCAGACACAGGCTTTTGACTTTGAACACTGTCAGTCTTCAATAAACTCTTCTTGTGACAAAAACAATCCTCCACTGTTAACACCACAGAATGTTTTGGTTATATATTGTTTTTACATTGTCAGATAGGAAATAATTTTGTCTTGCCATTGGTGTATGATTTCTGCTTCTTGCTGCTTATTTATGACCATGATACAAAAATATCACAAAAAATACTCTCCTGAACAATTACAAAATTGCTAGTTACACATCTTGTATTTCTGACATCACCATTAAATACCACACCAATAGGCACCCCCACACATGGCCTGATAGTTGGTAGCTGCTTAATTCACTTATCCGCATGATTGATGTGTTACCCCAGCTTTTTATGAACCAATGCATTTAATTTTGATAAGTGTACTCTGTACATAACTAATACCATCATCATTAACAGATCATAAGAGATGACCAACCAAAAAATCTGAAAATAAAGGATGTTTTAAGCAATGCTGCAGCTAAAGGGAAAAAGCTGCATGTAGAAATATGGATGGATGGATAATAAGCCTAAGAATTGCACAACTCGAGCTATATTCTGTTAACAACATGCATAAACATTGGTGCAGAGTGCAATTACACCTTAAACTGCTGAGAATTCCTGACTCAATTTTATAAATTAAGTCAAAGTTTTTGAACAGATGATTTCTTGGAGCAGAGCTACTGCTAAGTGGTGCTTGTTATGTGACCCTGACTGATACCATGCTCTCCTGAAATTCCATTTTCATGGCAATTGGAGGTGAAAGTTTTGGGCAACTTGTGACCTTAGTTTTAGCAAAACATGCTGCAGTGCTTGGAAAAGGCTGCCCTGCCCTATGATATCACCAGACACTTAGAGCAGTTACTGCTACCCACAATAGACCATCCCAGTCTAGGGCAAATAGCCTCATACCCATCCCACAATGGGTGGGTGGACAAGACAGGCACTCTAACCAGCTGGGCTATCATGATGGATACATTGGTGCTATAAATTGAATCTGAATTGTGTATATAACCTCGGACTTGCTATTCTTTAGTTGCCATGCATTTAATGAACACTGCTCTAAGTGGTGCCCACTCACCACAAATATCAGGGCATAGAGCCAATACTTTCAGGAATTATGATAATGCTCAGGTATTTTAAAGCCCTTACCATTTGTTTGAAAAAATGTCAATAAAAAACAATTTAAACCTTCAACTCAATTTTAGGATCAGTACACAAAATCATGTAAGCACATGGTGGAACAGATAGATTAATCAGACTTGACTGGCTGTATGAAAATGCCTCATAGCTAGACTTCCGGAACCAGAAAATTTCAACAATGCTTTTCCAGCTTGTACACAATTTCAAAGTGAGAACACAACATGTGCTAGCATGGTACACGCATTAAATAGCCATTTATACCACCTGTATACCTTTTTGTATTTGCATTTACATAATGAGACCTGAGCTGTTTCCTCATGCCTTGCAGATAATACCACACAAATAAACAAATATTTTACTCACGGCTGTGTGGCCATGGTAAACGTGTCGCCCATTCTGGTAATACAAATCATTTGACACAAATTAATTTTTACTAAGTTTCAGCACCATAGATGACTAAAATTATCCTGCCAAAATTGAAAATTAACAATAGTGTTCAATACCAGGACAATATTGTTGGTATCATCTTTCTCAAAAGCTTTTTAGCTGTTGTGCTTTAATACTAACATCTATGACATATGTCACCATCTAAGAGCATTCACAAAACACTTTCACCAATCCTTATGAGAGCATGGATTCTTTAAACACTCCCCAAAGTATGCATAGTCCTGCATTTCTAGATCGGCAATGTCGGCACCGGAAAGGTACCAACCCCCGCCCATGAGTTCCATACGGATTTCTCTCAACCGCACCCTCACCTTCATTGTCTATGTCATCTTCAAAATCCTCCGGGTCACTGAAGTCGGGCTCCTCAATGTAGTTTATCCCTAAATTCACTATCATTTCCTATGGACTCAGAATTCTTTCTCCGCGCCATTCTTAAAATCCTTTAGAAGCCACCGGTCCATAAGGCACAAATTCTGACACTTGTGCCGGCTGTCCAGCCAAGCAAGAGAGGGAGCACAACCACGCTGGAAGGTGAACTATACAATTACGGCGCGCAGGAGAAGTTTGGAGTAATTGAAAATGAGTCAACTGAGTATCCCAAACATCATTCATAAAAAGAAACAAGACTTTGAAATATATTTTTAAAAATATGTGACATTCAAGACAAGATTCTCTTTTTAAGGCGAAAGAAAACGCTTTCATAGCTTTTAAAAATCGTGGACCTCAGATAATTAACAAAACCATAGTCATCATAAGCAAAGGCAGTAGATATCTTATACTAAATGGATTTAAGGCTTCCTTACAGTCTAAAACCTTACGGTGAGTGACAAGTGAAAATATGGGCAAGGCAGTTAAATTATTACTACGGCATTGTCGCCAATGGCGGATCAAGATCGGATCATCTCATTCGTCCCTCCTTCTCCACCCGAAAAAATGTTCTAAAACAAGCTCTCCCTCGGTTTATTGTCCTTAAGCCCGCGAAATGTGTCATGTTCTGTCCATTCTGGATCACCTTGGGGGCCCATGGCCCAGTTCCACCCCACTTAGACCCGCCCTTATTCACCGCCGTTTCTGCCTCACGGACAGAGAGCAGACAAATCCCCTGCGCGGATAGAAGTCGATGTCCAATTGTTTTTTCGGAATATCACGCTTGAAAAAGATCGCCTAAAGCTTGTGGAACGGGAGGGCAATTCGGCTCCACTATACCGTGTAATATGCTGAATCACTTGAAAAATTTCGCTCGTTGCTGTGTGACCAAACCAATATCCAAAACATTTTGTTTTTGTTAACTGCTTGCATCCCGCCTCAGTTTCAGACTCATTCGAAGCATTAGCCAAGCGGTGCTGCATGTTAGATGACCACAAATGTGTGCCATCCCCGACTCCGTACGTTTCCGTACCCTCGGCCTGGTGACCCTCACCAAGTTCCCAGGCATGAGCGCAGAAACCTGGGGGAATGGGGGCGTGGAGGGGGGGGGGGGGGGGGGGCTGTGCGCACGTTAACACCAACCTCACAATTGCTCCCAAGCGCATCCACTGGAAAGAAGTGGAAAGACAAAATTACTGTCGTCCCCACCAATGAAATAGGAGACTTCCGCCGCCCCTTCTCCCACGTCTCCGTCCGAGCTTTCCCGCTGCAACTGCTGGCGTAAATTTGTCTCGCTTCCTAAAAATAAAGGCTTACTTTCGCTGCGCCTGTTCGCGAGTTCACGTGCCCCAGTCGGTGTCCCCATCTTGCGATCCGCGTGACGCACAGTCCCTCGCCTCACCTCTCCACACGGCGTGCTTTGAACACTGCTATTGCCATCGTATACACCACTGTACAAGGAGAGACAGACTGAAGGCATATAAAACTCTACCGCAGGATGTCTGCCCGGGCCCAGCGTTGTGAGACGACGCGCGTCGCCGCAGCCGGTGGAGATACCGCGGAACCGGTAGGTGCAGCGTTCTCTTGCTATGAAGTGCGACAGCGCAGCGGACGTGAAGTCATAACCCCTGGATCATTGGTTGTCACTATGCGTTGCACCCGCACCCTAGCTCAAACTTCCACCGTGTCCACATGACAAGGCGATTCTAAACGAGCGGACATCACACATGTAATTTGCTGACAACGGCTTTTACACGAGCGAACCAAAACGCGTGCAAACGCAGCGCCGCATCGGATGAAAACAGCATGTAAAAGGCGTACAATAGATGTAGGAATAACTAGCCGAATCAGACAGGACTTTCAGATATCATATCATATCATAGCGGTCTAAACGTCCGCACCGTATCCTGTGCAAATACAGCAAAAGAGGTGCGTTTTAAAAGATAGGCGGCTAAAGCCAATCGAAGACTCCCGTGGTTCGGCGATTCGGTTCGACCCTTTCGGCGGCTTAAACAGCCATTGGCTGTCAACACTTTTCGGCGGCAGTTCGATTTCGTGCGGATCCGCCCGCAGATCACGACCAATCAAGAACCACGCAGGACCTGACGCCACTGGATTCCACCCATCACGAAGTTATCACGCATGACGTCATCCTGATTCCGCCAATCGCGAGCCATCTGGCGGGATCACCGACCCGACCGGCCCAACCCAGGTCAAGTCGTGCTTGACGTCACCGCACCGCCGAACCAATCGCAAAACCGGACGGCGACACCACCTCAGCCAACCAACAGCCGCCGGCCGTGTCACGAAACCGCCGCCGTTCGACCCATCGCCGCCGGCCTAGACGTCTCCGGGCATCTTCCAGCAGAGGATGGCGCCGTCCGTGCCGACCGAGACGACCGTCTTCATGTCGGGCGAGATCTTCAGCGACGAGATGGCCGTGCTATGACCGACGCCGGTGAACACGCAGTCGCCCTCGCTGTACCGGTACACCTGGCGGAGACGGCCGTGGATGACGTCAGCATGGTGTCAGCGCCACCATCAATGTCACGCTGTCGCTATGGCGCCGCTGTCACCTAGGCCGGACCAGGCCGCGACCCAGTAACCGGCACAGCGTAAACTATACATTTATCATGAACGCAATGTCCCACCGACACAGCGTGGAAGCAACGACGAATACGGCACGCGCCGCTGTTCTCGTGGGCCCATCGGCTACAGACCGTGAGAAATGCCGACAACTGGCAACCCGACTGCCATGCGAGCGCATGCTCGAACAGCGCACCAGCGTCGGCCTTGCGGCGCGAGAGCCAGCCTTCCGCCCCGTCGCCAGCGCACGCCTGCCCGGCAGACACCGTCGGCCGCCTGTGGCCCCGCCGGTACGCCCGCCCACCTTGAGGAGCTTGTCGTCGCCGCCGGTGACGATGAAGCGGCCGTCGGGCGTGATGTCGACAGCGTTGAGGCCGCCGTCCTGCGCCGCCTCCAGCTCGCGGATCAGCGAGCCGTCGAAGATCTGGCCGAGCGGGGCGCGCGCGGCGTCACGGACACGCCGGCGGCTGGTGGCAGCACCGAAGCGCGACGGCCGGCACGGGCTGACACCAACGCGCCGCGCGGCGGCCGGCTCACTAGACACAGCGCCCGGACAAACTAGTGGCGTACAGTTCGCAGCTGCGTCTGTTGCAGTGGTCCTCACGCGGCGACGGCCAGGCGGTTATGACCAGTGTCACACACGATCAACGGCACGCGAGCTGCGTAAGCCGCGACCGACGAATCATGATAGCCCGTCGCGATCTTCGGCGGCTTCTCCCAACACATCGGTCTGTGCCGATGCCGCCACGGCTGCCCCCCCCCCCCCCCCGCCCTCCCGCTCCCCGCCCGACCCCCATCACATGCCACGAGCCGTGGAGGGGCGCGCGCCGTACCTCCCAGTAGGCGAGCTTGCGGTCGGTGCCGCAGGTGATGAGCTGCGCCTCCGATGGATGGTAGCACACGCCCATGAACAGCGTGTTGGCGAACAGGACCGTCTTGCGTGTGAACCGCCTGCGGCAGCGCGGCGCCAGCCACACCAGCAGTCAGGCAATCAGATGCAATCGGGTGCAGTCGGGCGCAATCAGGGTACAATCAGGTGCAATCAAGTACAATCAGTTGCAAACAGACGCCGGCGCCAAAGGCAGGGCATGTGGCAGAGACGGCATCGCGGGCTGGTCAATCACTCCCCGTGGCCAATGTTGATGATGGTCTGGAATGAGGCTAAATGAGGCGTCCGCGGTCCGTGTGACCTCTGACACTAGCGTCCATGTCTGTCATACCTGACCCCATGTCCGGATGCCAGGATGTCGTGCCGTGACCCACGAGGGCCTGTTTCCCGAGCTGCCGCGTCCGCGTCCGGTGACAGTGGTCACGCGACATCCCCCGAGTCGGTGTCCGCCGGCCTGACATTCCCAGGGCTCCACGACCCGATCCTATCCGATCCGATTCGATCCGATCCGATCCGATCTGACCCGATCCGACCCGACCCGATCCGGTCCGACCCTACCCGACCCGACCCGACCCGACCCGACCCGACCCGACCCGACCCGAATCCGATCCGATCCGATCCGATCCGATCCGATCCGATCCGATCCGATCCGATCCGACCCGACCCGACCCGAACCGACCCGACCCGACCCGACCCGACCCGATCCGATCTGATCCGATCCGATCCGACCCGATCCGATCCGATCCGACCCGACCCGACCCGACCCGACCCGACCCGACCCGACCCGATCCGATCCGATCCGATCCGATCCGATCCGATCCGATCCGATCCGACCTGATCCGACCACCCGACCCGACCCGACCCGACCCGACCCGACCCGACCCGACCCGACCCGACCCGATCCGATCCGATCCGATCCGATCCGATCCGATCCGATCCGATCCGACCGGACTTGACGCGACCCGACCCGACCCGACCCGACCTGCCATGGTCCGGCCCGACCCTACCTGACTCGGCCTGACCCGGTGTTCGCTCCCACCTGCCGTCCTCAGGGCATCGTGGCCTGGCGCCTTCCAACCTGACCTGACCCGACCTAACCCGATCTGACCTGAGCCGGCGGCCGCACCCACCTGACATCCCAGATGATGCAGGAGCCGTCGGTGCTGGCGCTGACACACTCGGAGTCGTCGCCGGTGAGCCGCAGGCAGGTGACCGAGCCACGGTGCTCCTTCAGCGCCGCCCGCAGCGTCTGCGTCTGACAGCCGATCTCCCAGGCGCGGACCTGGCCGGCGGCGGCGGTGGCGGCTCACGCACGGGGCCGGGGCACGACACAACGAACGGCATGCGGCGACCGCAGGTTGTGGGCCGCAGGTAATGTGGCGTGCATGTTTGATGGTTCATGTACGCAGGTGCAATTGCTGACCTTGTCCGTTCAGAAGGTCATGATTTGAGTAGTGTTTAGTGCTGTCGCGGGATAAACACGACCATAACGCGCAGGTCGCTGCTCGGAAAGCACTTGGGAGGGGTCGTCAAGACATGTTGTGTCGCAAGAGCTCTCAGAGAAACCGGAGAGTCCGGCGTGAAATCCGAAAAAAAAAACACGGCGAGAACCTGGCGTGTGACGGGCAAATCACGCTTGCCAGATGCTTAGCGACTGAGTGTGTTTGAAAGGTGTGAAAGGCGTTTAACTAGGTGTTGTTTGTAGCGGGCAGCAGACAAAATGCTAAGCAAAACATTGTTTACAGCAGCACTCGTTTACGTCACTCAACAGCACGAGGAAGACACCTCGATTCTAACTGAGTCGGCCACCCGGGTCGGATAAGCCCATGGGTACTCACACGGAATGGGTAACGGGATGGAGTGGGTATATATCTTGGGCAAATTACGGATAATGGCACGAATATGGGTATACAAATTGAGAAATGACGGGGAAAATATTCCAAGAGATAGTGAATGCGGCGGTGCATGAGTTTCTTTTAATTATATGACCACGCCTAATTTATAATATAATTTCAATACGCAAATAGATCGACTCATGCTTTTTTTAAAAAACGCCAACGTAACATCCTCAGGTACATATGTTCCTGACACTTTTAATCCAGAAACATAAATACTGTATACAATGCGAGCAGGTAGATAATCGATGCAACAAACTGATTAAGATAAGAAGCAGATGTGTAGCACCGGGCTTCGTAGTGGTCTCGGATAAGTAGCGGATGGGCGGGGAATTTATAGTGAGTGGGGGGTATCGGGCTTCGTAGTGGTCTCGGATAAGTAGCGAATGAGCGGGGATGTAATAGCGAGTGGAAAGTACTAGCCTTAGCAGCGCTCTCGGATTAGCAGCGGACTAGCGAGTGGTATCAGTAGCGAGCGGGTATGAGCGCAGCCTCGAGGGCAGCGGTCGGACTGGACAAGGGAACTCTGCGCCCCGAAGGCCTCTCTCCTCCCGTGCTGCTCCGATCCAGCTCCGGCCCTCACCTGGCCCTCGCCGCCGCCCGTCATCAGGATCTTGCCGGTGGAGAAGGCGGCCAGCGCGCTGACGCCGCGGTTGTGCGCGTCGCGGATCATGTACTGCAGCTTGCCCGACTCCGGGTGGTAGGAGCGCACGATGCCGTCGTTCCAGCCTGGCCGACGGCCGGCGGCCGGGCGGCGTCATCGGACGGGGGGCGGGGGGCGGCGGGAGGAGTCCGGACAGGTCACACGCCGACGCGGACACGCGAGACTCCGGACGCGTCAGCACCGGACATGGACGCATGAGATCGGGACGGCTGGGACTCAGGCACACACTAACATAAGACGGGGATGCGTTGGAGGCGGATCAGTGAGACTCAGGGCGCGGGTACGTCAGGCTCGAACACGTTAGAAGCGGATGGCACGGCCCCCGGACACGGATGCACGAGACGCGGACGCGTGAGCGCCGAACGCGGACACATGAGGCTCACGGACACGCCGGACTAGGACAACGACACGTGAGACGCGAACGTGTGCGACAGAGACCCGGCCACGAACAGGCGAAGCACCGGGACGCAGTGCGGCTCCCCGTCACTGCGGCTAGAATCGCTGCAGCAACTCCAGCCGCGCGACGGGCGGGTGGGCGGGCGCGCACCCCTCCCCTCGGGCCTGAGAGCCGCGGCGGTCCCTCCCGTCCCCCACCGGACGCCACCGACCTGTAACGATGGCTGACCCGTCCGCCGCCACCTGCAGACACTGGCACACCATGTTGGGCACGCACATGCGCAGCAGCTCCTGGCCGGAGGCGGCGTGCCAGACGCGGGTGTCCTCGGCGGCGCACGTGACGAACAGCTCCGAGCAGGCGCTGCCGGCCGCGGCACCTACCAGTTAGGCGGGGCGTGGCCGTCGACGGCGGCTGGGCGGCGGCGCCGGCAGCGGCTGATCGGGTACGTCACCAGTCAGAAACACATGCAAACATCGGCGGCTCGGCGCAATGGAGGCTGAACTATCGCGACCGTTTCGAGCCGCATCACTCACGTCAAGCGGACTGTGGTCCCGCTGATCTGAAATATCGCCAGTCAGACCTCGCCTGTCGACTGTCGCCTGTCGACCTCCGCCGCGCGCGCGACATCCACGTCCTTCCCCACGGCGTGTCGTACCTCGGCACACCCCATCCGCCCACGTGCCTCCCTCGACGCGCGCGACCTCCCTCCGCGAGCGCGCGCGTGCCTGCCTCACCGCGGGAAGGTGACCGCCTTGACCTCGGTGGGGTGGCCGGTGCGGAGCAGGGTCAGCTTGATGGAGCTGGGGCAGGCCCTGTAGATGTGAGAGTCGGCCGTGCCCACGTACACGCGGCCGCTCTGGTCGGCGGTCAGCGTGGTGACCCGGCCCTGCACCGTGTTGCACTGAACCTGCGGGCGTGCCGGTGGGACATGTACAGGCAGTGCCGCCGCGATCAGTAACACTGGTCCGCAGAGAGGAGTGCTGCGGACGGAGGGAGAGAGAAGGGGAGAAGAGGGGAGAAGGGAGCAGGAGGAAGAAAGTAAGCTGGAGAAAGAACAGGGAGAGGAAAGAGGAGAAGGCGAGAAAGAGAGGGAAGGAGCTGAGACAGAGAAGGAGGGAAGGGAAGGGCATGCAATGCACAGGCGGGGGGGGGGGGAGAAGTGTGTGGTGGAGTTTAAGTGATAGAGGGAAGAAGGGAGGGACGGAAAAAGGGAAGAATGAAGAGAGAAAGGGAACACCGAAGCACAGGGGAAGGAAGGGAAAAAAAACGGAGGGAAGCACGGAGGGAAGGAGACAAGAGAAAACAAGAGCGAGAAACGTCACCGAGGCCGAGACCCTGCCCAAAGGTGGCAGAGCGACAGCAGGTCCGAGGCTCGAGGCCGAGAGCGCCAGGACGAGGTTGGAAAGCGACAGGACAAGAGCGGGGAAGCGACAGGACGAGGCTGGGACAACAACAGGGCAAGGGCGGGAGAGCGACAGGAAGAGGGCGAGAGAGCGACGTGACGAGGGCGGAGGAACAACTGGAAGAGGGCGGGAAAGCTAAAGGCTGAGGGCGGAGCTCGACGGCACGATGGCGGGAGAGCGACAGCAGGCCCGCACCTCGTCCATCAGCCGGTCTGTGACGCGCTTCATCAGTTTGATGGTGTTCCTGGGCTTCTGGGTCGACTCCTGCAGGCGGGCCACCCGGCCGGCGCCCGTGCCCACCAGCATCTCGTCGTTGGGCAGCATCAGCATCGACCAGATACCTGCGGCCACACGACAATCGATAGAGGACTGTCCTGTGACAGCCGTCACAGCTGTCACAGCTGCCTCAGCTTTCGCAGCCGCCATAGCTGTCGCAGCCGCCACAGCTGCCACAGTTGCTACAGCCGCCACAGCTGTCACAGCTGCCACAGCCGTCACAGGTTTTGGAGCCATCACAGCTGTCACTGATATCGCAGCTGTTGCAGCTCCGGGCCACCATAGCACAGCAAAAGGGTGTCAAATGCTGTTTTTCCACTGTACCAGTAACCAATGATATATCGTGGTTTTAAAAACATTCGAGGAAATATCAATATATTATATAAGTACCTAACATTAGTGCCAAGCTTTATCACTAATCCGGCGAATCAAGCGACGCGAGTGTCACCAACCGCACGCCTTTGATACAGATGGGTTAGGATAAAACCAGAGGAGTAGGAAAATAGTCACAACATGCACGCCCAAGGAGACGGTTCACCGTCACGTCGCGCGGATATAATACGGACAACCGCCATGCCGTCCCTCCGCGAAGTGAGCACGGCCGCCCCATCCCCAGCTCTTCGGTGACCCGTCCCTCCGCGCAGTGAGCACGGCCGCCCTATCCTCAGCTCTTCGGTGACCCGTCCCTCCGCGCAGTGAGCACGACCGCCCTATCCCCAGCTCTTCTGTCAGCCGTCCCTCCGCGCAGTGAGCACGGCCGCCCTATCCTCAGCTCTTCGGTGACCCGTCCCTCCGCGCAGTATGCACGGCCGCACCATCCCCAGCTCTTCTGTCAGCCGTCCCTCCGCGCAGTAAGCACGGCCACCCCATCCCCAGCTCTTCTGTCAGCCGTCCCTCCGCGCAGTGAGCACGGCCGCACCATCCCCAGCTCTTCTGTCAGCCATCCCTCCGCGCAGTGAGCACGGCCGCACCATCCCCAGCTCTTCTGTCATCCGTCCCTCCGCGCAGTGAGCACGGCCGCCACATCCCCAGCTCTTCTGTCAGCCGTCCCTCCGCGCAGTGAGCACGGCCGCCCTATCCTCAGCTCTTCGGTGACCCGTCCCTCCGCGCAGTGAGCACGGCCGCCCTATCCTTAGCTCTTCGGTGAGCCGTCCCTCCGCGCAGTGAGCACGGTCGCCCCATCCCCAGCTCTTCTGTCAGACGTCCCTCCGCGCAGTGAGCACGGCCGCCCCATCCCCAGCTCTCCGTTGAGCGACGACGGAGTCTGGCGGACCGCGAATGGCGCCGCCGACAGGGCCAACAACGCCGACAGTACCGACGGCGCCGACAGGGCCGACAGCATCGACAGTACCGACAGCTTCAACAGGACCAACAGCAACGTCAGTTTTGACAGCAACGACAGCAACGACGGTACCGACAGCAACGAAGGCGCCGACAGCAACAACAGCACCGACAGGGCCGACATCTCGAACAGATCCGACAGCGACGACAGCACCTACAGCAAAGACAGCACCGACAGCTCCGACAGCACCGACAGCGCCACCAGCGCCACCAGCACCGGCAGTGCCGACAGCACCGACAGCGCCGACATCTCGAACAGATCCGACAGCTCCGACAGCACCAACAAAGACAGCACCGATAGCTCCGACAGCACCGCAGCACCGCCTGTGCCGACAGCACCGCCATCGCCACCAGCATCGACAGCCCCGACAGCGCCGACAGCGCCACCAGCACAGACAGCGTCGACAGCACCGATAGCTCCGACAGCGCCGACAGCGCCGCCAGCGCCGCCAGCCAGGCGGCCGGACTCTGCGTCTCTCACCCAGGCTGTAGGACTCGCCCTCGCGGGTCAGCTTGTTCTTCTTCTCCGGCGTGCGGGCGAGGCACGCCACCAGCGCCGGCATCTGGTCCGGCTCCTGCGCTAGCCGCACCTTCATGATGTCGCCGGAGGTGGTGCCGCAGTACAGGTACCGGTCGACGGCGTCGATCTGCCCGGCACGCAGGGGAGGGGCACTCCGGTCAGGAGAGTCGCCGGCCGAGAGGCACTCAAGAGGCGCTCCGGTCAGGAGAGTCGCCGGCCGAGAGGCACCCAAGAGGCACTCCGGTCAGGAGAGTCGCCGGCCGAGAGGCACTCAAGAGGCACTCCGGTCAGGAGAGTTCGCCGGCCGAGAGGCACTCAAGAGGCCTCCGGTCAGGAGAGGTCGCCGGCCGAGAGGCACCCAAGAGGCACCCGGTCAGGGAGAGTCGCCGGCCGAGAGGCACTCAAGAGGCACTCCGGTCAGGACGGCCGCGCGCTCTGGCAGGGGCAGAGTCGCCGGCCGTGGCTGGCCTGCCGCTCGCCCGCTGCGGCGCCCGTGGATGTTATTCTCTACCGCAACGTGCGCTTCCATTTGTTTCCGTGTGTTTTGGGCGGTGGTTGGGAAAACGTCTCCGAGTTAGTTTAAACCATCGCGCACAGGAGATTCGGCGAATTTGTTCGGCCGAAGCGGAATAAGCTTGCGCACGAGTTAAGCCAAAACGGCTTACCCTCATTTTCCGGCCACGGTGGCAAATGTGATTCACTAGATGAAGCTCTATCAGCAAACTTCATGAATGCGGTTAAAGCACTTCAATATTCTGTCGCTAGAGCGTGCAGCTAGAGCGAAACATGGCAAGGTCCAGTTTTTTAGCTTGTAAACACTTAAAATGACTTTTAAAACAAAGTTTCCCGTTCGGCTTTTGCTGAACTAAAACGGAACCCGCAGCGTATTTACAAGTTCAGCTCCAACTTTCCCGCCAGTAAATTATCCGACTCTGCGTTTTTCACGCAATACGCCACAAAGGCGAAGGCTCCACGGCGCATGTCTATGTTTGTGCAGCAGGTTGTGAGCCCTACACAAACAGCCGGTTCGGAGTTCAGGTCGATAAACGACAAGCAAACGGCACAAACGCTGTCTTTGTTTTGCGCGCCGCACACCCGGCCTGCACTGTTCCGCAGTCTGCTGTGAGTGCGGTTATATTTGCAGTTGGCCGTAAATTGGACATAGCTGGCGACAGGCTCCATTAGCCACTGATGGTGGATTCAACGTGAAATTAATCCGAAGCGGCAACAAAGAGACAGCGAGACATCAAAATGGCTGAAATTATTCCAGCGTTGAACATAACAAAAATTTGACTCCAATCGATTACAGCATGTATTAGAGGCATTGAAAATATCTAGTTACCTCTGACTTTTGCACTACTGAAAAAGTTCTGTTTCGGAACTGCAATGAATACAAAGTGCAAGCGTTGTTCTGCAAATTATCGGCTAGTTAAAAAAACGGATATAACGCTTGCGAACGCTAAAACGCTAAAGCGAACAATTGCAAAGCGCACAGTTGCAAATTTATTTCCTCCCTTCGGACAGCTATTGGTCTGTGGTATTTATGTAATATCATTTTGCATGATTTCACGGAGCACGTAACTGTCACTAGTTTGCGGTCAATTTACGCTTAAGGGCGTCGCGATTGTTCATACGATCCCCCGGACTTACCACGGCGGTGTACAACAACGCAGACGTCAGCGGGTCTCGAACCCACAACCGCGCGCTCATGTGCCAGCATTCTGGCACCGAGAAACCAGCCCACAATGCCAACACCACCATGACATGTGCATTCACCCTGCGCGGGGAGTGTGTACTTTCATATTCGAAAACAGCACATTTAGCGTATGTGACCAAAGCGAGCGCATGAACCGCGACACGCAGAGCAAACATTTCTTGCCGCGGGGTCTGCCTCCACAGCAAACCGCAACACGTACTGCTTACCCGAGCGCACCGTATCTTGCGCTTGACCTCGCTGAGGGTGACGTTGGAAGGCGCGAGGAAGCGCTTCTTGCGGTGGATCTTCCACACCCGCAGCGTGTAGTCGCCGGCCGTCACGAACGTGTCGTCCACGGTGCTGCAGAACTTAAGCACCAGTGAGTTGCCCTGCGTCGGCTGCGACGCCTTCAGGCCTGTAGCGCGGGTCACGGAGGCGTCAGCCCGCGGCGGGACGGACGCCAGGGTGACGAGACACCGGAGGTCAGAGCCGCGGTAGGGATGGGAGGGCTTCAATTAAGGCATCGGAGATAGCTACCGCGTTTATCGGGCGGCGTTTGCGCCGCAGCGAACGCTTGGTAATTGCGCGAGGCCGTGTTTCGTATCATGCCTCCGCGGCCAAACGCGTTCCAATTAGGAGCGACAACTTAAGTGCTACCGAGAGCTCCTCCTGTTTGTCTGCATTGCATTACCTCAATGGGCAATGCTAGGCCTCAATGCATTGTCTGCAATGCATTGAGGCCTGTTTGTCGAGGTGAAGCTAGTGTGGACGGCATATGACATCCGTCTCTTCACAGCATGACTTGAACCGGCCATCAAAACGCAGAAGCGTGGCCCGCAACCATTGTGGACACCGCTCGGTCTCCCGAGCCCCCCGGTCGACGGAGCGTCAGACGACAGCTGACCTCTCACCTCGCAGTCCTATGGCCAGCTCGCACATACGCCGGCCCGCGTCGAGACGGCTGACGGCGGCGCAACCCAGCCTGCCCGCCCGAGGCGTACCGCACAGCGGGTCCTTGGTGGCCACGTCGTACACGATGACGTTGCCGTCGTCCTGCCCGCCCAGCGAGGCCATGAACACGTCGTTGGGCGAGAACGCCACCGCCTCCACCTTGACCTTGTGCAGGTTGTGCGAGCCGTACCGCTCCAGCGTGTCGTACGACCAAATGATGACCTCGGCCTACCGGTGACGGGAGGGGAGGGGGAGGGGTACAGCGGCGCTAGAGAGCCCAACAAGCTGCCTTTGGTGAGTAACTGGGGGCCGCAGATGCAGGCCGTGTAAACACAGCTGATGCAATCGAGCTGTAAACTGCATACGGATTTCCTTGCAGATGGCTTGCTGAGCTGTGCACAAAGTTAAACAAAATGCTCTGCTCTGGTCGCACTCGTACCCTTGTTCAGAAAAGACACACCGATTATAGGCCACACCGTGCCAATCAGCGCTTCTAGAGGTGTAATAGGTGTTATCCGCAACCCTGAACACGTGCCATGAACACGTTACACGAGACCGCGACCGAAAAAAACTCCCTGGGCCGGCCGGCGTCACATCGCTCAAGCGCGCCGCCGCGCCGCCGCCGCCGCCGCTCCAGCGCTCCAGCGCGGCGGCGGCCGCCGCCGCGCCCGACCGTACCCGGAACCCCATGAAGTTGATCTGGCCGGAGGCGATGTAGCGGCCGCAGCGGCTGACGTCCACGCACGACACGTTGTGGCTGTGGCCGGTGAGGAAGCGCTGCCGCCCCTGGCCACCCCATCACCACCACGTCCGTTGCCCAGCGCGTACACCACGTGCGTGCCGTCCGGTGCACGTGCAGGCCGCTCAGCACGTTACCTGGCCCGACAGGCGAGCCGGTCAGTGCCGCCGAACACCGGTCATTATCCACCGCGGTCGTCGGAGTGAGAGAGGTCGACCCTAGACGTCTGGACGATGTTCTAGTCGTAACTAACGCACATACACCCCCACGCCGCCGCGCACGCACGCACGCACGCACGCACGCACTACACAGCACATGCACACACTACACATACACACATACACATACACATACACATACACATACACATACACATACCATACACATACACATACACATACACACACATACACATACACATACACATACACATACACATACACATACACATACACTACACATACACATACACATACACATACACATACCAATACACTCACATACACATACACAATACACCAATACACATACACATACACATATACACATACACTCACCTACACATACACATACAACATACACATACACATACCATACACATACCCACACATACACATACACATACACATACACATACACATACACATACACATACACATACACACAACACACACACACACACACACACACACACAACACACCACACAACACACACACACCACACACACACACACACCACACACACACACACACACACACAGTTAGCTCGCTGGTGGCACGGGGCGTGGGACTGGGGCGGGGGTAGTTTGCTTGAGTGGATGGTTTGCCAGTTGGGATATATATCGACTACGCGGGAAGTGAATGTTTGATCTACGTCAGTAACCACATGCTCCTCTTCAACTGTACGCATAAAATATATCGCGCAGGACATGCACTCGAATGTTGAGTTTCGCAACATTTCATTCCGGCGGTCACCTTCAATCCAATTGCAGCTGTCAGTTGCATTCCTTCTTCTTGACTTCACCGTCAATGCCATGGTTGAGATTGTGAGACGATGCAGCGTGTAACACCACCTGGAGAAGACAGCGGAATGATACCTTTCCACCGTTCCTCAGATATATTTTGCCAGGACCTACATGCAGGACCGTAAATTTGGCTCTGCACGTAATTGGAGAAACCGCCACATGATCATCAACATTCCTTTCTCCTATTCGCGGTTATTTATCCGAAACCTGGAATCTGGTTTATCCTGGTACCCCGTTAACCTGGTTTATCTGGGGCAATCCGTAAGCATCAGTCAGAGGTGCAATAGATGTTCACTGGTGGGACATTAGATGTCCCTTGTTGCCCCTTGAAGGAAACCCTGCCCGAACCCCACGTTTTTTCGAGGCGTGTGCGGGCTTGTTTAGGGAGGCATGTTACCCCCCACACACAGAAACACAATTTCTCTGAGCGGAATTAAGTCTCGGAGCAAATGACTCCCACAGCATGTTAGTCTTTGCCTGATCAGTCTCCACTTCCCTTCATCCCATGGTCCTGAACTGGCCATTACTGGTCGGAAGGGCACTACACGCAGTCAAATATCGAGGAGATCGTAGCTCAGCTTGGGAACGCGTTGCCGCACGAGCATGTGAGGAAAGCGTGGGCTTTGAGGCATGACCCTCAGCCAAGAGTTCTGAGACCTATCGTTGCCAATTACCGCGAGGAACAACGATCATTGTCCACCACGTAATCGGAGTGAGAGGGTTGACGCTAGATGGCCTGGACGTGTTCTAGTCACAACCACACCACACACACACACACACACACACACCACACGCACACCCACACACCAGAACACCACACACACACACCCAACACCCCCACACACACACACCCAGATGCTTTATATCGACGTTGCTCATGTAGAGTTGCTATACATTTTTGAAATGCCCTCGTTATTTCAGTATTGTCGGACCCAGAAGTTTTTTGACAAGATGAACGAACCATCTGGTGTCCGGCATCAAACACACACACACCAGATAAAGAAGCTAGCGCATGTACCAAATCTTGAAGTCTTTACGAGGATTGTGTTGATGACATCAACATCAACTCACGAGCACTCATCACGCTTACGATCAAGACCCGATTTCACTGGCCGAGATTTTAGCCCCCACGGAACTTTTTGATGTGGTCATTATGCAAAAAAAGCATCCAATTGACAACGAGTGTTAAACTTTACGTGCACTTTCCCAAGTACCCTGGCGACCGTTATTTTTTTGGTGTTGGTTTCTGCCCTGTTTATTTCCGACAGGATGGAGCACTACCAGTTTGCTATGGAAACAAGCTGGTCAGCTTAATTTTGCTTTTGTTGGAATAATGTTTTTTGTTTGAATTTTTTGCTTTTTGGGTATATCATAAACATTCTGTCAGTGTATAGACAAACACTGGTATTATTTGTTCCAAATATAATTTTATGTCATTTACAAATAATATGCGCTAATTTGTGCATGAAATGACAAACCATTT